CAATCAATCTCACCAGAGACCAGAGCATCAACCTTTTCGCATTCCATCCTGTACATTCTTGCTGCTTTAAAAACTGAATAATGAGACTCTCGTGAGGCATACAGGATTCCATCTGGATATACTTCCCTCCTGCAAGACCATCATCTAATTGCTTTAGTTTAATTAGAAAGGTTTAGCTATGAGAACGTAAGAACATTTCTCGACTAGAGCTTATAATACTAACCCGACTAGTATACCATGAAGGTTGCCTTCTGTACCACAATTTGTAATGTATCCCCAGTATTCATTCTTCTCTAATTCCCACAGTCGGGCAAACCAATCTAACACACCGACTTCAAACTCTCTGGAATGTACACCATAATTGCTCTCATCAATAAATGGATCTCCAAGGTTGTTGATGGAGAAGTGTTGAAACTGGGCTAATGCACCATACTCAAAATCGAGATTAATGGGATAACCTGTTAAAGACGTTAGTTTAGGACGTGACTGTAACGTAGAAAACTGCAATAACATGAAATAGTATTGGGATATCCTCATCCATCAGAATTGGGATAGTTAAATCTGTTCGTAGGAAATGTCTAAGGATCCATGTAAAGAATTGGATATCCTCAGTGCAGTTGAAATGGCATCGGTCATGTTTCAGGCCTGGGTCATAATCAGTAACACCTTGAAATTTCAGGATAAGTTTGAGAATACAACTCTTCTGAGAAGTTTTAATGAATATAATTGACTGTTAATGGTGTCAATAATGATGTTGAAGAGGTACAAGAATGGGCAGCTGTGTCACAATAATTTCCAAATTAACATATCAAAGGTAGTCAAAGATGAACTTTGAAAGCATAAATCAAAATCATTTTATTGCAAGAAAGAAATAATAAATTCATAAAGACTGCCGAGATAATGCAGCAGTAAGATGTATCAACACCAACACCCAAATCTTGGCTGAAACTTGCAAATTATACATCCATAGACTAAACCTCATCCCTCAATTCTATCCTCTGTCAATTGCTTTCCTTTCTATTTAGAACAATAAATGGTTTTCCTTGCTGAAATCCAAGACACAGCATTTCATTAACCTAGACTAAGCAAGAGCAAATTATCAACTCTCTGGACCAAGTTGTTTCCTTTTCTCTTCATCTTCTTGTGCGTCATCGCTGTGCACATGCCAATAGAATTCCATATATGCACTTCTTAACTTCACTCTTCCAACCATCCCAGTTAACAATATAATAAATGAAAAACTGTTTGGGGCAGAAATCTGAAGATTCATTAATAAATTGAGTAAAACAAAAGAAGTTTCGACAAAACAGCAATCCATGAATTGACAAAATAAATAACTAAATTGCGAAACTCTAAGTACCTAAATGATTTTTGGTTCGTTCAATTAAGGTCCTCCGATACGGAGCCAAGACACTAGCCATGGACGCTTTCCGTTCTCCAGTGACCTCATCATCAGCATCAGGTTCCTTAACCTCCCAGCAATCTGTGTGTATATTTCTCCCGAGGACGATTTCTCTCTCCATTTCTCCCTTGATTCCTGATGCGTCGTCGTTTATATCAGCCGGCATTGGTTCTATAATGTCGACGCCGTTGGATCGAAGTCGTCCGCCAATGGCTCCACCTTATCCTTTCCGGACCATGCATGATGTACACCATGCATGAAGCCCCTCAAAATCGTGGACCCCACGTGGGCCCCACCCCCATGTGAGGGGGCTATCGAACTGAATGTAGGGTGTACATTCAACAGTATCCTTTCGACATTCATATGTGACTGGTTCATCAGATAGTATATCAGTACTTGATACTCCCAACAATCTCTGTATCAGAACCCTAAAAAAGAGGATGAAATTAATTGATTATTGGAAAATGCAGATCATATGTAGGATTGGGAGAAATGTTGACCTTCTTTGAGAGTTCACGAGGATTGAATTGATGAATTGCGTGAGAAGGAAGGAACCAATTTTATTGTCCTTTAAACTGTCCCCCGTTAACGATATCTTGACATGATGTGACCTTCTATTCACAATCATGGACCCCACGTGGGCCCACAACTTTCGTATATTTTTCAATCACACGTATCATCAATTTTTTTTATTAAAACGCTTTGTCATTTAATCGCTTAAATGTACCGTAATAAATTCTTGGCATCATAAGACCACTCATTTTCACTATGTCTTTAAATTGTCCCACAATAAAATCTTGACACCTTAAGGCCATGTTTGGTGGCAATTTTTTTGGAAAAACATTATTTTGAATGGTGATTAAAACATTCTATACACTAATTTTAGTAGGGAAAAGTTTTAGGTTTACGTATAGAATATTTTATTATGTAAATGTGTGATTTAAAATGAATATGTACAAAAAAAAAAGTTTTAAAAGAATAGGAGACAAACATGGGCTAAATTTGTTCTTATATAGGAGATACCAATAAAGGGCAGAAGGTCGATTTTTCATTCGGATCCCAATCATTTCGTTGATCTCAACTTGTCTTCCTACAAGTTCAGCGAATACTGAATGTTAATTTTTGAAATAAGTTAGGACTTACTTTTTGTAAAAAATAAATTTAATTAGTAAAACTATTAATGTTTGAAAAATGAAAAAAAAAAAAAAATAGTATTGATATCATCACCAAATATCATCACCAAATACATCGTTGTAGGCCTCTTAATTCGGGCCATGTTTGTTTCGGATTAAAATCAAATTTTAATTTAAGTCAAAGTCAAACAATCAATATTAACCACATCTTTCATGGGTTTCACAACTTTTCAACCACACATTTCAAAAACTTTTATCACAATCTACTAAAAATCTAATTTTAATCTCCACCAAACACACACTCAATGTTCAGAGACCCACTCCCACATCTACTAATGATAAATAGTATTATGGTTAAGTTAAAAATAAGTACCTATATATGTACAACATTACAAATCTACGGGTATTTTAACAAGAATGCAACTCTTCCATCGGTTTGCAGAAAAGAAAAGATATAAAGGAATTGCACAAGGTTTGCTGCAATTCAAAAAGCTTTTCCAATTTTATTATGGTTAAATGTAGTTGTTGACCCCAAAAAATGAACTCAACAGACGTCGGACCCACTATTGCCACGTCAAGTGCTGATCCTGCACGTTTCTACCGGAATGTGAACAGTGGTTTGACTGTAATAAACGTGGGAAGCACTTTCCAGTGAGAGACACAAATGTTCAGGCTCCGGTAATTAGATTTGGGCAGCACTCGCGCTATCAACAAGTGTGCTTGATTCGTTTTCCTTAACTAAATCACTCATTTTGTAATGGAATATGTGGAATGATAGATATGAGAATGTATTGTATACTGTTGGAATATCAATGTGTGTTCTTCCTTGTGTTTTGTAAGACAAAGCAAAGCATATAAAGATGTTATTTTATTTCTCGAGTGCACCATCCCCCTTTTCAATACAAGAGATGTTATTTATACTAATCTAGCCGACGTGGTGACCGTCCAATCACATCCACGTGGCGACATCTCCTAGACCAAAGACTTACATCACTGTCCATTCATCGTATTCAGTGTTTGACAAAAGGTCAGCCTAGCTAGTAGTAGGCTGACACGCTGACATATTAAAGCTACAGACACTTTATTACAGACGTCCCATCAATCAATTGTGAAATCTTCGAATCTGTTGGGAGGCCGTGTCGACTTTAGTATACATTGAGGTCAGCTTTAGGCTTATGGACATCTGATGTGATTAAGTTTCGGTGCTTTAGGACTTCGGACATGAGGAACCTCTGCCTTTGTATTGAGGGGCTTTAGGTAGACCTTCGTTTCTTGGCTGGAAGGGACATCAGATGACTACAACCTCAGCACTCGCATGACCTCGTACAGTTGCATTCTTTGTTGTTCTTAACTGTGCTGACCTTCCTGCTGACTTGTCAACTGGCTTTATGTCCACTTGGCTACAGAGAGTACGTGGCCGTCCACGTGGAGTGCTGACTTGGAGCCTCTGATTTCGGGGGGTAACAGTAGTCCAATTGTAAAAGCAAGCCAATTCCGAGGCAGATTCTTATGTTTCAATTCCATGAACAACAATATGTTTAGAATACCACCAATTCCGAGTTATCAAGGTCATTCCTCGTACACAAATAGGTAATGTTGGATTTTTTAAATCCGAATTGGGTTGAATTTTTGAGAAAATATTTTTTTCCTTATTTTCACATGTTTTTATTGGGAAAATATTGTTTAATTTATTCCACGTGATTTTTGATCTTGTTTCCATCTTCATGGTACTTCTAGGGTTTGGCATGCATCCCTATAAATGCTAGACATTTTTCACAAGTTTTGTATTATTGAAATATAGAATAATTGTGTATGCACAGTTATTGTATTTGTTTCTTCTATAGTAGTCAATTGAATAAAATAATATGTTCCTCTGCTATTTAAATCTTTTCATTTTATTTTCTTATTTGTTTGCGATCATATACTTCATATCATGTCATATATATTATATCGATCCGTTTTATTTCCAATCAAGTGGTATCAGAGCTATTGGTTGTTATTTGTCCGAGTTTTTTGTTATTGATGACAACCACGAAATATGAAATCCCGCTCTTTGATCGCAATACAGTATTTTTATTGTGGCAAGCAAAGATGTGAGTTGTACTCACCCAGATGGATTTGAATAATGCATTGTTGAGATTTGATAAAATGCCTACAACTTGGACGATGGAGGAGAAATAACGAAAGGATCGAAAGACACTTTCACATATCTATCTTCATATATCTAACAATATTCTTTAGTACGTTTGGAAGGAAAAAATAGCAGTTGCGTTGTGGTTGAAGTTTGAGCAATTGTGCGTGACTAAAAGTCTGACAAACAAATTGCATCTGAAATTGAGACTGTGTTCTCATCGCATGGTAGAAGGCGGGCCTTTGGAAGATCATATGGATGTGTTCAAGGAGATCTTCACTGATTTGGAGACTTCGGAGGTAAAGTATGATGAAAAAGATTTGGCATTAATCATTTTGCATTCGTAGCCTGCTTCGTTTAGAGACACGATCTTGTATAGTCGTAATACTCTCACCATTGAAGATATATATGATGTCTTGTTTTCAAATGAGAAAATAAAGCGTATTGTTGGATCTGAGGTCAGAGATGAAAAAAGCCTTATTGTTCAGTGTGATAGGAGAAGGGGTAAGTTGAGGTCAAATTTCAGTAATCATGTTTGTTATTATTACAAAAAGAAACACATTAAAAGGGATTGCGACAAATTGTAGAACAATGGTAATTTGACTGTAAAACATGGAAAGCAATCAAATACTTCAGACGTGACCAACATATTCGAGAACAATTTGATTGATGGAGATGTTTTGAAGGTTTCTGCCATGGAATCCAAACCTGACGAGGAGTGGATTTTGGATACATCTTGTGCGTTTCATATGTGTCCCAATTGAGATTTGTTTGAAACATATGAAATGGTGACGCGATGTGTCATTGTCATGAGTAACAACGAACCTTGTCGGTAACTGGTATTGGTAGAGTCAGATTGAAGCTGGTAGATGGAACATGTAGAACACTTGATCACGTTCGACATATTCTAGATTTGAAGAAGAATCTCATTCCGTTAAGTACTCTTGATTTAAAAATGTACATGTTCTCTGGAGGAGGCGGAGTCTTGAGAGTTCGAAAAGGTGTTCGTGTTGTATTATAGGGGAGGAATAGGTTCCAATTATACATCTTGTGAGGTTGGGTAGAATTTGTGAAGAAAAGTCAACACAGATTTAGTACCGTGGTGGAGATTCATTTGACACTGTACTTTTGGGATTTGGTTCGAAATCCATATTCAAAAAACTACTCAGTTGAGTTTGAAGGATATGGGTAATTTCGCTTTGCCACCATTACTTGAGGTTCCATCGCATTCAACACCATATCCTCATTATCCAACTCTGCGACACCATAAGCTTATCATCAAAGTTTTAAACCTACTAAAAGGAACATTTTAATCTCCAATTAAGATCCTTCGAAACCGATTAAAGAACAATTAAAATGAAGGGACAATTTCACATCTTGTTTGAGCCCTATTTTCTTCAAAACAAAAATGTATTTTGTAATAGTATTATGATAAAGAATGTATAATTAAAAAATAAGGAATTTTTTTGGATTCGCGTGTAATATATTTTATTGAAAAACGTGTAATTGAAATGTGGTCAAATCACTGTTGAATATGCATTTTGATGAAAAAATGGAGTTCAAACAAGGGCTCACACTTGCCTAATTATGAATTCATTCTACTATTCAAATAATTTCTAGAAAACTGGATAAAAAAATAGTAAAAAAAAAAAACTCCCAACGGTGCCCCAATCCCACCACAAGCGGCCACTATCATCAATCAATACCAACCAGCAGCCAATGTCATAACCTCATCATCCAAGTCTAAGGAACCACAGTCTTATCATCCAAGTCTCCAACCCTATAAAAAGAGCATTCTCATCTCCAACCTT